GCGCCAGGGTTAGCCGTTGCCGCCGGGCACCCAACGCGAACGCGCAGTCAGAGACGGTACTGTGACAGGGTGTGCGTTTAGGTCCCCTTGGCCGCGGTGCCATGGAGCAGGATGTTGTGAACGCTGATGTGGCGGGGCAATGACGCATGATGTAGGAGCAGCTGGGAAGTAGCCAGCAAACCCACTGTGGCTTGGGAAAGCTCTGGAGAGCATGGAGACACAGCACGTGGTCGCCTGTTCCCCGTGGCCAAATTTGGTGTCTGCCTGTGGTTTTCCTCCCTGTGATGTAAGGGTCAGCTGCATTTGGGGTGTCCAATGCTTATCTCCAAGAAGTCCATTTCCAGGCCGCTTTGGAGCATGTGGGTGCCGAGCAGGGTGTCCCAGTGGTGCACCCCTGGGCCAGTGCAACCCTCGTGCCGTGGCCATGGGGCATTGCCTCTCTCTTCTCTTTCCTCCCAGCTCTGTTCAGCTTTCACGGCCGAGCAGGCTACCTACAACCACGTGAAGATCCACCACGGCTACACCAACGTCATTGGCCTGGGAGACTCCAGCACCTGGAAGCTTCCTTTCTTGAACCGCTACGTCTACATGTTCATCGCGCCTCTCGCAGTGCCTGTCATAACCCCTCTTGTTGCACTGGGTATGTGCCTGAACCATGCTGGGAAGGGGCCCTGGGTCTGCTGAGCTTGTTGTTAGCCAGGTTTCACCCTGCCAAAGAGTCCTGCCGCATCTGGACGTGTCAGAGTAGTTAAAGTGGGCCGTGGTGTGATGCAGAGAAAGGAGGCGACGCCACTTGTTCATTCATCAGGATCTGCTCCAGTGAAGGCGTTTGCTCCATCTCTCCTTTCTGCTGATGCTCAGAAATGCTTCAGACCTCCCTATGCTGGTCAAGCATTGAAGGTCCTGGCAAAAGCCTTCAGGAGCCCCAAGTGCCTCAGACTTGCTCTCCCGTAATTCAGACCTTTGGCTTTAGCAGGGTTCAGGTTTGCGTGCAGGTCTCTAGCCGTTCAGAGCGTTGCAGCGGTATCGATGACTGTGCAGGGACAGGGTTTGTGGGGGATATGCCCGGCTGGTGCTTGACAGAAACTCGGGCAGACCAAATGGCGACTTGGAGGAAATAACTGTGCCAAGAGATGATCATGGGAGAAAAGCCCAGAAAATGCTAATATAAGGAAGCACAGCCCTTCTGGGCTTTGGGGGCTGAATGTACAGCTCTGGGCAATGCCAAAAAAAACAGAGAATGACTGGGCAAATTAAAAGAAATGAAGATACATCCACATCCTTGACTGATCCTGCCAACTCCTCTACAGTGGGGGCAGGGCAGGAAAAATGAAGCTGGATTTTGTGCTGTCCTTGCTCTGTCCTTGCCCAGACATGCTCCAGGTGCCTCTGAGGGACAGGGCTGGAGACATCTCCGTGCCCCAGCCCATTAAGTGAGCCCTCGAGCAGCTCAGCAGGGCTTGGGGCTTTCAAGCCAGCCCAGAGGCCAGGAAAAGGGGGAGGAAGAGTGCGGGGCTGTTTGTGTCTGTGCATAAGCCTGGACCTCTCTCCCATGTGCCATCTCTTCCTTTCACAGATTTGCTGAGGAACGTCAAGTTGAAAACAGCTCTCCGGACCATTTGCTTCATGCTTCTGGGTCTTTATTCCCATTACTGGATTCTGCTCCACGTCTCGGGCTTCCAGTCTGTCTGGTCTGCTCTGCTCTGCATGCTGGTCACCCGTTCCCTCCTGGCACATCCCTATATCCACGTGAATATCTTCCAGGTAGAAACTTAAAGCTCCGAGATGTCTTAATGGGCTTGGAAATAGGTCAACCACCGCCCCCTAAAATGGTCCTGACATTGCTGGATGGTGAGCTTAAGACAGGCAGCCTTTGTTTTTATCTCCCTTGTGTTGATTTTGGAGCAGAGGAGGTTCAGGCCTGAAATGTTAAGGAGTAAATTGTTGGCTCCTGGAGCTGTTGGGAGAAAGTCAAGGGAGAGTGAATGCAAAAGGGCTGGACTGGGATCTCCTCCCTGCTGGAGGGAACTGTGGCGGCTTACAGGTTTGGAGGGAGTTATTGCATTTACACTGTTGTAGGAGAAGCTGGTGTTGAAATTCCTGAATTGGAGAGAGGGTGTTTGTGTAAAGTGCTAGTGTATTTGTGGGGACAGAGCCAAGGGATGCTCCACGCCTGTTGCACGCTCGCAGACAGAAGGGTCTGGGGGTCTGCGGTGGAGCGGCACTGGGGCAGATCCAGCTCTTGGGTGGGCAACCACGCTCTGAAATGCTCCAGGTCGGCCTGGCCAGTGCGCTCGTGTTCGCCTGGCTGCTTCTCCGCGTGCCGTGGACGGGTGGCAAGGCCTGGGTGGCGATGGAGGTGAGGGCACAGCCAGCAAGGAGGGAG